CTTTTATTATTTCTCATGGTTTTGGGGGTCAGATGGACAGCCCAATTGGGGCCGAATGGCTTCACTTACGTACCAGGTTCTTGGCTCAAAGTTAGCTGGGGCAATGGGCATTCTTGGCTGTGTATCTTTATCACCCAGCAGGCTGCCTTGGACTTGTTCATATGGTGATTACTTTAAGGTTCTGAAGAGCAGCAAGGGAGAATGCCTGGATGTGTACACAGCGGTTTGACAGCCCCTGCTTGCGTTTTGTTTGCTAATGTCCCATTGTAAAACTGAGTAACAAGCCCAGCCCAGAGTCAAAGAGGGAGGGCCTGGCCAAAGATCAGGGACAGAAACTGTGACCTTGACTACAAATTACTACAGTAACTGATCTTAAAGACATTAAGGAACAAAATCGTACTTGCAGTTTTATGTTAGAAAAAATAAGTTTCCTAAAACCTAAATTATTGCTAAGTAATTTAAAAATTTCTCAGAGCTACATTAAAAATGTGAAAAGAAATAGATAAAATTAGTTTTCATAATATTATTTTTTAACCCAATATATCCAATGTTTTTTATTTCGGCATGTAAAACTTACAGAGAATTATGAGATTTTTAAAAATACCAGCCGGGCATGGTGGCGCACGCCTGTAATCCCAGTACTCGGGAGGTGGAGGCAGAGGATTGTTGTGAGTTCAAGGCCAGCCTGGGCTACAAAGTGAGCTCAAGTCCAGCCTGAACTGCATAGCGAGACCCTGTCTTGAAAAAGACAAAAATAAATAAATAAAAAATAAAAAATACCAAGACTCCTAAACCTGGACTATAAATACCTAAAAGACATTTCTAATTTGAATTAAAAGACATTTTAAGGGCAACAACCACATGTGACTAGTGGCCACCACACTGAACAGTACAACTTGAGAATATAAACTTTATGTTTTTATTTACATGAGAAAACTCAGGCTCAGAAAGGATAAGTAGCTTTCTCAGGGACATGTGGCTTTTAAATGGTTGAGCCAGGATTAAGCCCCAGGTGGAGTATGAAGGAAGCATCACATTCCTGCTTTGGGGAGCCCCTTTTCCTTAGCCTGCTGCGATGGTGAAAGTCTTAGAGACAGCACCCACAGTGCCACCCCAAACCCACTCACTGATTGCAAAGTGCCAACGCTGCACTTAAACTTCAACACTGAGGTTTTAGTTTAGAAATAAAAATGTCATGCAGTGCTCTGCTGCTGGGGTGACTTGGTTAGCATGCCAACAGAGAGGGCTCTGCTTGCCCACTGCGGCATACGTGCCACATGTTCTCCACCTCTGACCTACTGGGTCTAATTCTCTCTCTTCTTCTAAGGCCATCTATAATTTCACCTTTAACCTTTTTTTTTTTTTTTTTTTTTTTGCCCGCTGTTTTGCACTCATACCAGTACTCCCCATCCTACATATGTGCCTTGGTCACCTGGGAAGTGGAAGACACAATTCTCTCCCATACTAATTTCTCCTTGGGAGTCCATCGGCTCTCTGATCTGCATATGAGCTTTCTTTCCTAGTGGTGCATTATCTCTGGGAAGGCTGTGAGATTCCCAGGAGCAAAGGTTATGCCAGTGATTTGGCTCATTCTCCACACGCCATTTTGTATTTTTCTGTCCAGGTGACAGGAGCTCAATAACTCAGTGATCCATCTGAGCTGACATCAGAGGAAGGACTGAGATGCTCAAAAAGGAGCTCAAAAGGAAGCACTAATGTCCCTAGGACGTGGCCTCCAAGACACGCACTCACTCACTCTGTCTGGAAGGGAGGAAAGGCAGCTGGACGAGTATGTGTGATAGGCACAGGGCATCCTGACATGTCAGAGGCCCTCAACAGATGCTGCAAGGACGGGTCAAATGTGCTTCTAAGTCAGGCTAAGCCCCAAACAGGGATGGATTGACAGATTGTCTGTCACACCCACGAAACTGATAAATACGGCACTTCAACGTTAAATTCTGAGTTCGAACTTGGTGACAGAATGAAAATGGATATTAATGATGGATGACTAAAATAGCAATTAAAACTGCTCAGTTTCTAATTGATCTTTTCCAATATTACACTTATTTCTCTGTCTAAAAAGTGCATGTTTTCTATGTTCCCTTGTTGCAAAAAATAAATACATAAAAAAATAGAGCAATTGAAACCTTCTTCACTTTGGATCGATCCTTTCCAACATCTTACCTATTTTTCTTTTTGAAGAGGTGATATTGTTAATATTTTTCCCTATGATAACACATTGGAGTCATTCTGCTTCTTCAGTTCTTTAGTTTTGTATTCCTTTTCAAGTAATTGAACTGATTAGTATCCCATATGGAGTGGAAACAATTGGTTTTACTCATGCTGGTTTACAGTTACCCACAGAGCTATAATTGTTTACATGTTTCTCATTTCCTTGTGGAAATTCTTAGACTTAGTCAGATAAAGATCTGGCAGACTCCAGCTTTGTGAACATTACAGCTTTTGGTTATCAGATGTGGCTGTGTCCTGTTCAGCAGCCTCTGGGATAAAATAGTGTGTTCTATACTTTTGTACAGAATGAACTTTGAAGAGCAGCCCAGGACCCATTTCCTCTTACCTGTTCCTGGCAGCACTCTGATTTTGTCCAGGGATCCCTCACAAATCCACTCCATTGTATGGGGGCCTTCTTGGTTCATGGGTGATCCTACTCCTCTGCCACAGAGATTGGTTTCAGAAACCAGACCTTAGATAATTAGTGGGTGGCATTTTTCATCCCAGTGAGATTGAATCAGGAGAGAGCACGCAACTATTCTGGCCAAACAAATGAAATGGAAGGTTTTCGTAGGAGTTTCAGGCTAAGGGGTTCCTGTACTTAAGAGTGGTGTTACTGAATAAAATGATCTCTCATAGGGACAAGTGCTTTGGGCAGATTGAGAAATCAAGAAATGCTACAGTTACCTTGCTGTCAGCCTGAGAATGTGCTGGCCTGCAAGAGGGAGGGGACAAGCAAACCACAGAGAGGCAGGGATGGAGGCTGATGGAATCATACCTAGTCACTATCCAGAACCTTAGCTTTCTCAGTTAAATGAACCAATAAATCCCATCAGTGTACGAGCCTGTTAAAACGGAGATTTGTTACTTGCAGCCAAAAACATCATTACTGATACAGATAACATTTCTAAAGAAATGTGAGTCGCAAAATAAGAATTCAGTCTTATGAAATGCTGTAAACATAAATGCATATGCACATACGAAAATAAAATACAGTGTCCTCTCTTCTCTCTTTCAAATGAGGAAACAAGTTTGGAGGGTTTGACCAAGCCATTAAGTAGAAGAGCTAGAATTCTTGCTAGACTTAGAAATCTTAGATTTTTTTTTAAAATGGCTGTACTTTGACAAATTCCTTCAGAGAAGCTGTATGGGCAATGTGGCACAAGACCTTACCTTCACCTAATCTTAACAGTTAAACCCAGGGCTTCCCACACTGCTGCTGTATTTCTCATTAAATATTTGAACAGAAAATAGTTCTGTGTATCTTTTTGTTTTTCTACACAAGGTTCTGTCCTGGTAATCTTTGCCATTTTTAAAGTAGCTTTGTGTTTTTTTAGGAATAAACGGTTAAGAAGATCAGTCTTTTTTGTTTGTTTGTTTGTTTTCCGGTACCGGGAACCGAACTCACGACCTTGCGCTTGCCAGACAGGCGCTTTGCCACTGAGCTAAATCCCCAGCCCCAAGAAGATAAATCTTGTTCTTGCCTACTCACGAGCATGGCAGTCTGATCCAAATAATGTCGTAAGATTCTATCTGCATCTCATTCTCTATCCCAAAGCAATTTGTCAAGATACTTTCCTAAATATAGTTCTGCCAAGAATTCTGGTGGCAGTTGTCAGATAATAAAATTGCAATTTCCTGGCTACAAATGAATGAATGACTAAGTGGTCTCTCCACCAAGAGATGATGTTATATATATTGTATAGATCTGCTATTACTCTCTTGAAGAATGTGTTGCAGACCTGGCTTAGAATGCTACGCATTTGTCTTTTTAAAGGGCAATGAACTAGTTTAACTGTTAGAATGGAACATTTCTAAAGCTTCTGTCAATATTCAACAATGGATATTCTATCAGTGTTTATCATGCAAGTATTACTGTGCATGTAACAAAGCCTTGGTAATATGGCCATGGCAGAGTTACACTTACCTCATTATTTAATTCTAAAGTTTCTTTCAAAAAATAGTTTGCTGTCCTACAAGGACAATAAGCATGCAGAACTCAGAGGAGAAGACATTCACTGGAGCCTAACATATCGGGTTTCAGCAGTGAAACCGACTTGGCATTCTGGGATTCAGGTGGGAGCAAGAAAGTAGAAAGGTACTCTGCTTAAGGGGAATAATACAGGCACATGGGTGGGCATGGGAATGCATACATCATATTTCAAGGAATAGTCGACTAGTTTGTTTGGAGAAAGATAATGCAGAACCCTTTTTTGAAAGGTAATGTAGAAAATTTTAAAATCCAAACTGAGACGTCTGCACTTTATTCCTTCTATAGACCTATGGGAATCAGCTCTGGAAGCTACGAGGGAGGGTGGAGGGCTCCAAGAAGGTGAACTTGGCTGCAGAGTCCAGAGCCCAGGAGGTGGGAGGGGTCTGTTTCAGATGAAAGGAAGTGGTCCACACGCAAATGGAACAGCCTGACCAAGAGAACAGAAGAGGGGAAAGGAGGAGTCAGAGTGAGAGACATTAGGAAGGGAAAGAACCAGCAGCTCTTGGGGACCAAGTAGAAAAGGGAGTCCCAGTTAGAGAGGGCATCCAAAAGGATTCTGAAGTTCACAGCTTCCATTGCAGATGGGTGAAACTGAAACAGAACAGAAACCCTCATGGGGACGAGATGGTATGTGTGTGGGGTCTTAATCTATGACCTGTTATCCACTAGGTGAAGGCATCTGTTTTTCCCTGGGCTCCTCTACTAACAGTATGGAATTTTCTCTCCCTTCATCCCCCAACTTGTATTATCCCAAGGACCAGGTGCTCTGTAAGGGCTGGGGGTGTGCCATTTCCCAGGACAACAATAGGCACTGATCTATATCCTATACTAGGAAGAAATCCCTAAAATATGAGGGAAAAGTCTCCAAAAATGCCATACTCGTGACTAATGGAAAATTACCAGCTCCTAACTTACCCCAGTGAAGCTGTAAAAGGTAATCTCATTCTCTGATAACAGACCATTCAGATTGCCTCAGGGTTTGCCCTCTTTAACCTCTCCAACCTAAAGACCTTCCCCCATTTTTTTCTTTCCAGTTAAAATGTTTGACTCTAAACTCATGCTGATTGCCTCAATTTTAATTTCTGTTATCACTGGAGCAAGTTCCCAAGCGTGTCCTGTATCAAAACTCCTCCTGGAAAAATCAGGAAATGCAGAGAGCGGAGCCAGAGTAGGAGGTAAGAAAGAATAGTTTGAGGTGACAGTAAGATAATAAGGTAGCATCTCGCCTGCCAGGGGACAGCTGGAAGAAAGAAATAATTGGAGATGAGAATCAGTCAGGACAGGAAACAAGGATCTCAGTAGAGATTCATCCTTCTTCTCAAAGGATCTATATTTTGGGTTGCAGTGTGTCCAGATAAGGAGGATAAACCAGCATTGGCCAAATCCATACATCGTAACTTGGCTTCCTTTGATTGGTCAGTGGGTTAGAGAGGGATCTAGTTTTGGTCATGAGATTGAAGGGCTTCTGGGAATAATTTTTCTTCCAAATAGAAGACACCCTCATGAGGAGAAGCTTCCTTCCTTTCTGTTGTAAGCCTTTCAGAGGAGACAAGGTCCCTGGGGCAGGACCGCTATCTTGATAGCCATGGCAGTCATGGATAAAGAGGCATAAAGCTAGTAAAACCATGTGGCCACCAGTAGGCTTGCTGACCTGCTGAACCAAGCTTGGAATTGCCTGCCTCCAGACTCACTTATTGCTACACATGTGCTTATTGACAGCTTTTATGAAGTCACCGTTAGGTGATATTTTATTACTCTCAACTACAGGTATCTTAACTGATGTAACCGTTAATGCCTGTGAGAATGTGGCCTGAGAGAGGGGCGGGGGGAGAGAAAGATAAAGGTTGGAGATAGACCCAGATTTAGCAGATGGAAGACTTTTGCTAATTAAACTTTAAGGGTTTTAATTAAAAAACTACTTATAGAAAACTCGTTTAAATCATATACAGGGCAACTCCCTCTTAAACCACTCTGTGGGCATTTTCCAGAGAGCATGTGTTTCAAATGAAAGGTCCAACAGGAGATCGGTTTCAGTTTGGAGTTACAGGAGGGAGATTATTCCTCTAATGTGATTTGCTTCCTGTTGCTCAAACACAGTCCTCTGAAATGAGGTTGTTTGCCATGTGAGAGATCTCCGTCCTCTTTCTCCCTTGGATGAATTAGAGAGCGAGAAGAACCTGTGTGAGGCTCCTCACTGTGATGGATGGAGGAGCCTGATTTATTCCCTGTGCAAAGCAGCCTGCCACTGGAGGCTGGAGCGACAGAGCTGACTCTTCGGGTAGGGAGAAAATGGCCTGGATCATTGACAGAGGTAAGCAGTGTCCGATTCCTCTAGGGGGAGAGGTTATGGCAAAGAAGCCCATATCTGTTCCACTGAACAATTCATGCCATGATTTTTCTTGAAAAAGAGTGTTCTCTTAAGCCACTGAGGATAATTTAACCCCCGTCTTGACAGGACATAGTAATGACTGCTAGTGGATACATTCTTTTAATAAATGAAGAGGCACAAGAAAATTGCCACATATTAAACAGAGTCCCAGATGCCTTATCTGAATCTATAATGGCCCTATCAAGTGACCTAAGAGAAAGAAATGTGACTCTTCAGAGGTTAAAGGAGTCTGTTTTCCCTGAGTGTGATCTAAATTCACTGCTGAGAAGAATGGTAATTCATTGGTTTATCCTAGGAAGTGTTTAGAGGGGAGGGAGCCATATCTCAAATTAAATGATGCATTTCCCATTGAAAGCAAAGAAAATATGAAGTAGCTACCTCTGTGTACTGTGGGTTTATGTAAATAGCTCCTTACTGGGCAATACAGCCTAAAAGCTCTATTAGTCTCTGACCTTTAAAATTTGCAGCCAAGAAATCAAAGAATCTGTGTAATTTGTCATTATTTTGCTAATTCTTTTAAAAAATACCTTTCCAGGGTATATTTATTTGTTTGATAATTTAAAATTCTACTCTTAAAAGTATTTCTCAAGATTCAAGCAATTCCTAATGTGCTATACTTAGGGGACTCTTCTCAAAGAATTCCTATCAACCATTAAGAAAATGACAATCCACCCCCCCAAAAAAAGGACCCAAAAGTGAGCCAGAAAATCAAATAAGGGGAAATGGCCATAATTATATGAAAATGATTTGTATTTTAGTTTTCTGCGACTTGTTGTTTTCAATTCATCACTCTACCTCTAAGCTTTATCCATCCATGGTATTCTGTGTAGCAATGTTCATTTTCATTGTTGTGATTACATTTTATTGGGTGAATATCTCATAGTTTCATATTCCTTGTAATATATGTAGCACAGATCTGTATTCATGAAGCTCAAAAGCAGGTCAAAATTACACAATAGATTGTATAAGGGTACACACATACACAAAAGAACTATTAATAAATAACAAAGTAAAAAAACAGTCTTAAAAATAGTGTTTTGGGGGAGGAGACAGAGATCAATGATGGAGGTAGGTGGCCGGTTGAAATGGGGGTTGCCTCTGCATTCAGCTGGGCTGGGCTGGAAAGTTCAAGTTGGCCTCACTTGTAAGCTTGGGGCTTTGCTGTACAGCTGTGTATAGCTTCTCTCTCCTTGTGCCAGGTCTTCATTTCCTTCCAAAGGGTTAGATGAGAGTTCTTTCCAACTAGGAAGCATACATGTAATACTTGAGTAATTAAAACTTGATGGCAATTAAAATACATTACATAAGAATAGTGTACCACTCTATGGTCCGATGCTTTTGGGAAATGCCGCATATGGTTCCTCTTGGAGATGCCCAGTTGGGAAGGGGAGATTAAAGGCTCTGAGAAGTTTTGCAAAGAAAGATCTGCTTTTGGTGAAAGGAGCTATAGAGAAAAGCTGCAGGATTGGTATGACCTCTTTCCTCAGGGATACATGAAGGGAAGACTGAACTAGAGGCAACTAGAAGGCTTTGATCTGTATTATGAGAAGTCCTAACCATCTGCACTTGGCTATTCATGTCTCTGTCAGGACCACACATAACTGGAAGTGACTCTGAGTGTCAAGGGCTCTACATACAACTAAGACCTATAGGAAATATCTGCAAGGCCAGAGGGTCAAGAGTGCCTGTCTTGGAATCAGGTTACTTATGTTTCCGTGTGTCAGACTCCCCCCCGGCATCTGCCAGTGCTCTTGTCTTGAATTAGCTCACCTTCTTGACTCCTGTCTCTTGTTTGCCTTAACCCTATGACCTACTTAAATCATTTATCATGACCTATCTGGATATATAGACCTTCGGCTTGTCCCTGGTGCTTGGTGACCATAAGCTACTTGGATTTTTTTTTTTCTCTCTTTTTCCCCTTTAATTTGAAAGTCAATCCAAGTTAAATGTAACACTCAAATACCCTACAGCAAAAGCCTCCTTTTTCTCCCAGCCCCACTGTCAACAGCTGAGCTTTCCAGTTTCTTCCCAGATGATGTTCTATGTTTATGTAAACACAAATGCACGCTGTATTAGTCAGGGTTTTACTGGAGAAACAGATATAACACAAGATGTACAAATGTATAAGAAATTACAAGATTGGCTTACAACGGTCAACCAGAGGGTTGTATGAGGAAGCGACGGTCAGCCAGAGGGTTGTATGAGGAAGCGTGCAGAGGGTGTCTGCACACTGCAGACCGAAGGAGTCAGTCCAGGGTCTGGAGTTCACTGCAGAGTTCCGTGCAAGTCTGTACCAGGAGGCCGATGAGTCTGCGACGGAAGGCTGAAGGATCCAAGGCGGAAGCTGAAGAGTCTGCACTAGAAGCCAGGAGACGAAGTCCAAGCTGAAGGTGAAGACTGGAGCTCCTCCAAAAGGAATGGAAGTTCCTCTGTCCTTTTTCATCTCCATTTTATATTATCTAGGTGATGATCCACCCTAGGGTGGCTCCTCTACACCCTAGGGTGTAGAATTGCTGAGCCAGTTGCTGAGCCAAGTTTAGTTAGGCTTCTAAACTTCTCAAGTTGACATAATCAATCAACCGCTACACACACATACATTGGAACACAATGGGTAGTAACGCGTCCGTGTAGTTCTGGAATCACTTGGTTTAATTTGTGTGTCCCTTGGTCTCCATCAGCAAATGCAGACTCATCTATGTGTTCTTTTTTTTTTTTCTTGTTTTTTTTTCCAGTACCAGCAATTGAACTCACGACCTTGTGCTTGTCAGGAAGGTGCTGTGCCGTGGAGCTAAATCCCCAGCCCCCCTCTATGTCTTAATAGTGGCAGTACTCCAAAGTATGGAAATTCCTTTATTTACCCAGTATTTTTCTTCCTTGTGTTGTCCCTTACTTTTTACTGTTGCAAGCAATGTGGGAGTGACCCTCCATGTATCTGAATATTGTATGACAGTGTTTTGAGGGACAAGTTTCCAGAAGGGGCACGCCCATCTCATCTTCTTGCCCCTACTGTTCCAGAGACCTCTGCTGTCACCTACCTCCCTTCTCCAAATCCTCTGTGGTTCACCTATGTCAGGGCCTTTCCTTGGGTGTCAACCCCTTTTCTAACTGTCTAATTTCCCTACTAGTCCAGAATGTTCCAAAGGCACAATCGATGTCTGCAGGGTTTGGCACTCAGTGAATGAACAAATGAATGAATTCATTAGCAAATTTTATTGAACTCACACTGTGTGCTAAACACTGGCGCTGTGTACAGTTATGCACAAAACCAAATCCCCTGCTTGTGAGTGGGTAGGGACTCATAATTAGAAAGCAAATAATTGTAAATAATCGGTCAGATGATAACAAATGTTACAAAGAAAAATAATGCAGCACAGACAAAGTTGTTATTCACAGGTATCTGATATTTGGGCAAAGACCTAAATGTGGGGAAGGATTGAGCTGGCTAGTTCAGGGAACTTGTTCTAGGCATCAATGAATGCTTGTGTAAGGGTCCCCACTCCCTTTCTTGGAGGGAAGACATGGAAAAGATTCCCTGGAATAGAGTTAACTCCACAAGGGAGTTTAGCATGAATGTCACAGCCTGGGTTTCCTAGGAGAACACTCACTTACAAGGTTATGCAAGTACAAGGTGGGGAGCTTTTTCTGGACGGTCACCATGGGAAGCTGGGCCAGAGCCTTGCCAGGGGAAAAGGGGACGATAAGGAGAGAAATCACACTAATTTCCTTTTTTTCACCCTTCAATTTGGTTTGTTTTTCTTTACTCTCTGATTATGGCCAGGGTTTGTTTTTTTTTTTTTAGAATTTATTTGCTTTTTTATTGGTTGTACAAATTAATGGGTTTCATTTTGGTGGATTTGTACATGCACATAACACACTTTGATCATTTTCACCCTATCACCCTCCCTGCCTTGCCTTCCCCTTAGTTTCACATGTGTTTTTTTTGCGGCGGGGAGTTCAATGTGTGTAATATATTTTGCTCATATTCCTTCCCCTATTACTTACAATTATACCCCTCTCCCTCTTATTCCCTTCCTCTTTGTCCAATAATAGTCTCCTACTTTCTTGTTATCTTTTTTAGATTCCGCATATTAGAGAGAATAGGGGATATTTGTCTTTTGCTAGTTTGCTTTTTAACAGGGGGGATTTAGTAGGGTAACTGAAAGCAGAGCTCTAAAGAATCATGGAAATCGTGCCCACAGGAAGCATCCACCACTCCTAGGGCCCAAGGAACAAAAGAAAGAGGCTGGAGTTATTAAAACCTGAAAACTGAGAGGACAGTGTTTAGGACAGGGGTGATGGGAGGCTGGGGGGTAAGGTGAGGAGGGGTCCAAACCTCTGAGGAGTGGGCTCCTCAGCTGGAGCTGGGCTCTTGAGGGTCAAGATGAGGCTGGCTTTTTAAGTGTTTAAGAAACTGCAAACTAGATTCAGCTGCTACTGCTGGGGTACATGAATGTGTGCTGCCGGAGTGATGCTCATAGGAGCTGTTGAAAATGGGAGTGAACAGGAAGGAGCAAGTCCCTGGCCCCTCCTTAGCCTTACGGTGTCCTTCTAAGCCAGTGGTAGTCAACTGTGACACGCAGGTTGTTTTTCTTTGAAAACAAAAGATGTTAATGTATGAGTTGCTTTTTGTAAACTAAAATCTTAGTTTTAGTTACATTCAGGTTTAGTTAAATTAGTTAAATTCAGGTTTAATTGTAGTGTGGGAAAAATAAGTAGGTTTTGGGTCATGATCTGGGCACTCATTTCTAAAAGGTTCGCCATCACTGCTGTAAGCAGTGAATTTGTTGGAGTCCCAGCTTGGGTGCCTGCATCACAAAGCTGAGTCCAGAAGGGACGGTTTGGAGCCCAGCCCTCCCCAGGAGGAGATTACACACAGGCACAGATACGAGCTCCTGGGTTCACTGAAAGCCATTTTTGAGGGG